GATCATATAGAAATCTGCCTAACCCTTAGATTTCTGTAGCAGTTTTGTAGACATAAGCAGTTAAGGATTTAAGCAAAGCAGAGTTCACATGAACAGTCTATCATATATTAGAATGATACAGTTGAAAAAAAAATGGCAATCTCCTATCTTGCAAAAGATAAAGGATATTATATCTCCCGTCTGACTTTGCCTCTTCCCTGTACTTTGATCATCACAGCTTTGACATTAGTGCTACAACAAAGAAGAGATTAAAAGTAGGAATCGAAAAGAGATTGCACAGAGACGCAAAACATCAATTGCCAGAACTGAGGAGTAAAATCAGAATGGAACTCTGAGAGCTGCTTTTTATTTTTTTAAGAATTATCATGATTATGTATTAATTGCAAATTATTGCATAGTCAGTCCATTTTTACTTGATATCACCCGTACAAGGACTCCTACATTTGAAGATGCTAAGAGTGCAAAGTTAAGTTCTCCCAAGACATGAAAATAAAAAATGTCGTCTTTTGAAGTAGCTGATACATTTTTATTAAGTTTTTAGTTACGTGGTGATGGTGTTTTTTTCTGCATTTTGCGACCCATGCTTCATTCAGTGCAAAGCCAGTGCTCTCTTATTTTTGGTGTCATCTTCATCACTTAGTGTGTGACCCACTGTGTTTTTTCTGCCCATTATCCATATGTTCTGTGAAAACTAGCTGATTAATTTTCTTCTCAACTTTTCTCAGTGATCATCAGTATTGTCTAGAACATTCAAAAACTTTGTTTAATGAGAAGTTACGGAGAAAAAGAGTGATGTTAAAATTATCAACTGCTTCTGGGTGTTCAGTTTGAAAAGTGTACGGATTTTTCAGAGCACTTAGCATTAAGTGGCATTTTTATATTTAAAATTTCAGTTTTCACACTGGTGGCAGCATTTCAGAGGGCAGTATCCATGGGTATTGAGCTGGATCACCTAGGAAATAAGGAATATTAATTTGAGAGTCTGAGAAAAGTTTATTTTAAGCGATTTGTCCAGCATCACATAAGGTTCTATGGCAGAAACTTTGGTAGGGCAGAGTTCTACAAGATGCTGCTCAGGTTCTTTGCTGGGAAACTGCCCTTTCTGATGCAGCAGCCCTGTGATATGTGAGCGTGACCTCCCTCCTGCAGCTCAGGCAAAAAGCCCCTGCTGTCCCCAGCTGCATTCCACACCGCCCTCTCTCTGTCCAGGAGGTCCATCCTCAGTGACACTTGTCTCTCCTAGGTCTAAACACATACCTAATGAAAGTTAAACAAAAGCATAATTTAAAGGAAGATAATTCATTATTTTTATCAAGTATAAAAACTGTTCTGAAGTATTAAAAAAAAAGTGGTTATTTGAAAAAAGGCAATCTGAAAGAAAAAATTGAGAAAATGAATTGAGAGTAAGAACAAAAATGAGTTTAAAAGACTTTTGCTTATTTTGTTTCAGTACTTCTATTTTTAATTAAGCATTTGATAAAAGTTTATAAATGTAACCATTTCTTTAGCCATTATATATAAATATATATTTTTTAACTTTAGGCAGATTCTTAAAATGCTTACAATTTACAAAGGAAATGAAAATCTCTCAGCAATAGGACTGAAAGCATTAAATCTACTCCTAATGTCAGGTATGGTATGTTTTACTTTCCTATTTTTATCTAAGCTTTTAAAACATAGAATTGTGGTGTAAAGTGTGAGATTATACATAGTGGGCCTGAGTTTTCTCTCTTTTGCTCCTAGAAGGTCATTTGTACCTGATACAAAATCAAAACAGTAACATTTTGTGCCTCTTCTACCCCCTTAGAAATGCTTTCCCAAACTGCAAGGCTGTGAAGAACATGACCCATTATTTATGTCAACTTGTTATTAGCATAGACACAAATACTTGCTCTGTAGTTAAATAAATGAAGGCCTTATTTTTTTTTCATGTTGCAATGTAAACTCGGTGACATTCTGACTTGTTTCTTTTAGTACTGGTTAGTGCTTCTAAAAATGAAAATTCCTTGATTTATCTCTATTATTCTGCTCTGCAGAGACTGGATCTTACCAGGTACTGAGAACATTTTGCACTGTACTGAGTTTCTTGATCTTGATCTTCTGTTGAAATTAGAGTCCATAAGGGATATTCTGATAGTTTGACTCTAGGTAGCATATAACATAGGAAGATATTGCTGTTAAATTAGAAATGTATTCCCTTGATGCTAACAGGCTTTCAAATCAGCCTTATTTGCAAAATAGGGATTAGGCTTGACTTTAGGTATTTAAAGCTAAGCTGGCTGCCCAAGCTTCTGCTACAGGTAGTAGAGTGAAACAGCGACCTTCAGAGGATGGTTCCTGCTATTTATTTGTCTATTTTAATGATTCAGAATCGTAATGGTTAAGTACAGAATCTTAATTAAGTACAGTGTTTCACTATAAATGTTGAGCCTAAATCACTGTAACATGTAATCTCTTCTGCTCTTCAGATATAATTGCCTTCTTGCTCTTGGAGGACGAGGTGGATGTGTTTTCCTTGGTATTTAATGCCATGCAGACCTTCCCTAAAAATGAAGAGATCCAGCAACATGGATGTAAAGCACTACACAAGCTTTTTGAGAAAGGTATTTGTATTTTGTATTTATTCAGTTAAAAAATGTGTAGATTGGGAGGGAACTACAGATGTCTAATTGCAAAGAGTGAATACTTTGCATTCCAAATTCTGTTTGTATATCTTGGTCTTCAAATGAGTTAGCATAAAATAGGGTTTCCAAATCATATCAGAAATTATCTAAAATAGAGCAATGACTATGAATCTTTTAAAAATGAAAATGTATTTGCATTTCTGTCTCCAGAGTTAGCCAGAAAGATGGGATTCAAAGTTAGTCAGTAACACAGGAGCCGAAGAGTAACGTTTGATTTTTCTTCTTGAAAGAAAAGAAAAAAAGGTTATTATTTAGAAGCTAGTACATTTTAATGTTGCCAGTAAGGTATAAGCAAGTCTAAGTTAATCCAAAATGTTCACATTCTAAAAAAATGTATGACAGCTTTTGGTCCTGACACTGCTGAAACATGCAAGTATGGATCTGTACAACACTCCTATGTTTCTTCTGAAGAATGGAGTCACCATATATTGAGTTTCTGTGGCATTTCCAGGAACTGTGTGTGTGATGGGCAGAAATTCTGTTGTAGCAGCCTTGCTTTGCACTGAAGTTTCTTGCTTCAAACAAACATTGGGAAATGCTAGCATTCCCAGCAAGCCAACTGCCTTCCTTGCTGCAAAGACAGCCTCTGATTCTTCACTTTTATTCTGTCCAGCACCATTTTCTGCAGCTTCATTTCCAAGTCTAACTAGCATACATCTGTGCCTGGAATTACCTTCTGCTTTGCTTCCCCTATTCCACTCTCCCTAAATACTTTGTCCTGCTATATTTTTTCTTCAGTGTCCACCAGGATATAAGATGTTCTGATAAGATCTTAGATTTTCTGTGCTTGCTTTTTACAGATCTGTAGACTGTTCTGCATGCAGACCTGCATGCCTCCTTCTTGATGATCGTGCTAACGTAACAGGTTGCCAGGCTGCCACGGACATTTTTTTCCTGACTCTAAGCAAGCTTCTCAGTTACACTAACATGAATGTTTACCTGGTCTTATCAGGAACCAGGTTCAGGAAATCATTCTGCTTAAAATGCAAAATTTGGGACTCCTTTTTAACTTGCATCATTTCCCTAGTCTGGTTCCCTGCACAGGCACACAGACAGTTGTGACAACCCAAATGACAGGGAGTAGGGACAGAAAAAACTTAAGCTTATTATTACTCTAAAGCTAAAATATTGTTAAAACATGACTCTAGTCTTTATGGAAAGGATCCCATATCAAAAGAAACTGAAAATTTTGAAATAAAATGGTGCAATATGCAGAGCAGAACGCCTTCAAATTGTTTCCACTGTATTCTTAGCCGTTCCTTCATTTGTACACCCTCTCAGTGAGAAATATCTGATGTTCATTTGGTGCAGAAGACCACATTACATCTTTTTATGTCTTGGTTTACATAGAAGCACTTAAATGTCCTAATTTGGCTACATGATATGTAGGCTGGAGAAAGGCTTCTATAGAAGAACTCAGTTTTTAAGAAACAGAGTCTTAATTGTGGAAGGAGATATGTGTGGATAGCCTCTTTCTGTGAAACAGAAAATAAATATAAAGAGACTTTATGAAAACTATTGTCTTTTTTTTGGATTGCGCCAGAATATGAATTGTGTCCTCAAAGCTGTACTGTATCTCTCTTGCTTTTCAATTTAGTTCCAGAAGAGCAGCTGACTGAATTTATTGAAAGCAAAGATCATATGACCATATTGAAAGTATTTAAAGAGTTTCCAGATAAAGAAGAGGTGATTCTTCCTGCACTTTATTCATTACATTCCTTAGCTGGTCCATGTAAGTGCATTATTGGAAGTCATTTTCAACTGCTCACTTCCTATAGCTCACATCAGCTTACTCAGTCTGTGATAACTTTGATGTTATTATGAAAAAAGTTTCAAGCCTCTCTCAAGATAAGCTGTAGGCAATGCTGCAAAATGTAGAGATGTATTTCGGCAGAAGGAACAGTCTTGCAATGAGACTAGTTGAGAGTTGCATTCAAATCGCCTCCCTCGTCTTTGGGAAATACTCGTTTGTGTTTTTTCATGTGAAATTTTCATATTCTGCCATTCTGATGAGGATTAATCTTAAAAACAGAGAGGGACTTTATTCTGCCTCAGAGTGTTATGTGACTACGATTTTCATGAAGGTTATAGAGGTCAAAGTTCAAATCCCTGCTGTGCTTTTGGGGGCTTTTTTGCTTGAAAAAGGTGAAAAAGAGGTAAAGGTGGACATCACTGGCAGAGGCTTTTCCACCGGGGGGTATAGTCCATGCAAATGCAATGGCCAAGGCTGGTGTGTGGATTCAAGATGCCCATCCCTGTCCACAGCGTGGTGGCTGCGAGGAAGGACGCTGGCAGTGCCACCCCTGTCCCAGAGCCTCATGGCGGCCTCACATCTTTGTGGCCTCCTCGTCGTAGCAGCTGGCTGGGCAAAATCAGGTCCTGACGTTTGTCCTTGATGATCTGTGCCAGTTTGTTCACTTGCTATGTGATCTTGTAGACATGAAGGTATCTGTTGTGAGCTTCTTGCTGGTAGTCACAGTTCCAGTAAGCAGAACTCTCCTTCTCTTCTACACGATACGTATTGTTGTTCTGCCCTTGGCAGAAGTGAATCCACAGAAACCCTGGCTCAATACATTTGTCAGCTCCATAGCAGCCCTCCTGGCTCAGTTCGTGCCACGAAACAGGAACTGAACTGCAGTTTCCCACTTTTCATCAGACAGTTTTTCATAGTTTCTTTCTCAAACTTCCAGCTGGTTCCATTTATGTTAAATAAATAATCCTCAAGCCAGAAATAAATTGACCTTAGCCCAAGAGTTGCTGCCATTTTCTAAGGAAAAGAATGCCAGATTTTAAATGTGTTTTTTTTTTTTTTAAATTAGTTACTATGGCAATGTGTAGCAGCTCCAAGAGGAGGACATAACAAGAAGTTGTCAGTATTTGTATCCAAAGTAGGAATTTGCTTGGCAGTTAGAACTCTCATTTCAGATCTGGAAGATCGAAAATAGTCAAAGAAGCAAAGCAGGCTACTCTTGTCAGCGTTTATATTCTTATGCTGTGACATCCCATAATACACATAAGAAAAATTATTTCTTTAAAGCCACCACCGGGAAGTCATTCACTGTTAAGCTCACATTGTAGCTTATCCAGTAGTAAAATGTTTGGCCCCCATATCCTGACGCACAAATTTCTTTTCTAAATGGTCATACGAAGGATTCGTAGCTCAGTGTGCCTTCTTGCACTAAGACCTATCTGGTTCTACTTTGTATGTCATGAGAAACTTGAAGGGTGAGAGTTTTTCTCAATGTTTTTCTCTTAAATCTGAGACGTTTTGGTGGAATAAGAAAAACGTTTGCTGCCTTCAGAGGCTGTGGGTGAACTCTCCTGTATTTAATGGGAAGAAAGAGGTAACTCCAGCAGAAATTCCAGCTCACGCTAAGAGGGCGTGGGCTGCATCACCACGTGGAGCACTCAGATAAGAGGCCCAATCCATCTTTTTGCTAGCTAGACCTAGGAAATGGTGGCTCCTTGCAAACCTAATGTTGCTCAGTTCCTGCAGAATTTAAGCATATTTTTATTTATGTTCTCTCTGTAGTAAACTATTTTAGTGTCTTTTTCAAATTTTGAATATGTTTATAATTATCACTGTGACGTGACAACTTACTATGAAGTGATGAAAAATTATTTTATGAGACATACATTTAAAGTAGAAGATGTTTTTCATTAGAGATTAAGCTTAATAATTTACTGGCATTTTAAAACATTGGGAAAAGAAGTACGTTCCTTCACTAACAAATAGAATGCTTCAAATATCTCCTCCAACTCGGAACTAACTTTTTCAGCTTACCGGGTATGTCATGGAATGAGTGGGGGTGTGGGTGAGTGACCCAATGCGCTTCACTCGTAGGAAAGAAATAGTAATAAGTTTTGTTGATAACAACAGTGGTTTCAGTAGATTCTATGGCAAAGTCACTTATTATTTACTGCATGGAGGTTCAAGATACGCATGGAATTACCAAGGAGATCCTCCCGTTGGGTCACAAGGTTCATAATGGACCCCCTTGTTTTCCAAACCCCTTCTGAGAGGAGTCTGGGTGCAGCTGGATCCAATCCTAGTCCCAGACCTGGTTAAGGGTTTATGACTAAGGGATTTGTGCACAGTTACAAAGTAAAGTTTACGAGTTCAGAAAGGGAGTTCACCAAAGTCAATTACCACAAATCTGTAGTGGGAAGGATCTCTCAACCAGATGAGTATCCTTGAGAGGTGTCCCTGCTCAAGGGGAGATCTCGGCATGCAGCCCTCTGCCATGCAAGGAGAGCTCTGGGCCCTCGGGCTATCCCCGTATTTATGGGATAAGATGATTGACTGATTCTTTCAATTCAGAAATGACTGTTGGCTGGTGTACTCACAGTTAGCCTTATCTCCCTTTCAGGATAGGGCCAACAGGATGTTATTGATGTTTAATGTCTGAGTGGAGGAAGAAATCAGGGAGGCAACCCCCAGGATAATGTGGTAGTTAACACCTGAATAGGGCTATATGTGAGGAGTCAGTTTGAGCTGGGGAAGGAGCACATCTGTCACAGGGTATCAATATTTTTATTTAGTATTCAGAGATATATTACTTTGAAGATCTTATGCTGCTTTAAAAGGACTAATTATCATTAATTATACAGTCGTGATGTTACCGTTACTTTGTATACAGAAAACCAAGTTGTTGAAAAGGCAATTAAGAATGTTTGTAGCAGAGATTAGACTAGGTCTCAGATAGTAATCCTGACTCCCTTGGGGACTCCATTCATTCTTTGGAGCTATTTTTTTTCCAAGGTATTTTGGTTCATATTTTATTTTACACTTGGATAGACATACTATAAGGATTAAGATAACTTTATTATAATAGTTTTTAACTACCATGATGCTGATTTGTCTTAAATTACTATATGCAGAATCTCTGGGCTCAGCAGGTAATAACGCATTCACTCTTTTTACTAGTTCGTGTGAATATTTTATTGGCTTTTGTATCTAGCCTTCATAGTAAGAGGTAAAGACAGAGTCTGTAATGATTTGCAGAATATTGCAGGAGCATGAGATGAATATTTCTATACTGTCACTACACAGTATGCATATGGCAGTATTAATTTGAGCCCAGAAAAGAGCTTTCTAACTCGTCTCCTCAAAAAGTAGAAGAAGTCGGATAAGGCAAACATATTTAAATAAATGGAGGTCAAAGTGTCTCACTCTATTTCTTAGCTGGTTTCCCTGGAAATTGAAATGCTTGATATACTGAAGTATTACTGGAATACCTGAAATATTTAATTGATCATAGTGGTCTCCAATGAGATTGAATTAATTGGATTGAATTAATGCATTTGAATTAATATTTGTAATACACATAGTTCCCATTTAAGAAACATGTTATGTAAGAATGATCTGTGAGTTGGTTCATGTTCTGTGAAACAAATCCATAATTACCAGTATGGACTCTGAACTTGCTGAGTTATTTCACATATTGGTAAGCATGATCGTCTGCTGTGGCAGTACTGAGGAAAAAGTGCCACCTTTCTTACAAGCTGCAAAGGCAAAACTGAAGCATAGGCCCAGTTTTCTACATTAATGAATTTGTCAGATATTAGAACCCAGTCACCATGTACTTTTCCTTAATAAGCAGTTTTTGTTTCTCTTTCTTTAGCCAGCAATGTCGAAGTGCTCATGTCTGGAAATGTTCGCTGCTACAATGTTATAGTGGAAACCATGACAAATTTTCCCAATAACGAAACAGTTCAAGAAGTGAGCTGCTGTTTGTTGCAGAAACTTACCTTGGGTAAGTTCACCGAGTTGTTTATAGTCATATTTATATTGCTTTAACTGTATAGGAGCTGGAATTACTGCCAACAAGTAAATTACTGTTCCAGTTGATTGTCAGGGGAATACGCTACAGCACTCTATGTTGCCGATAATGCGAACATATCCGTGTAACACTCGGCCACAGTTCATATAAAATACTTTTGTGTACCCTGTAACCACTCTCTTACAGGGTAAGGAGGAAAAATATGTATAAAATACTTTTGTGTCTCTTACAGGGTAAGGAGGAAAAATATTATCTCCAGTTACATTTGTAATGATGTTATAAGCCAACATTGTAGACAATGAACCTGGAAAGGACTTGCCTTAAAGCATGTTCTTAGGTGCTGTATTGAGTTGGGCTAATAGGACTAAATGGTTTAACACTGGGAGAGGTACTTACCTCTCAGTGAAAGATCTAGACATTCAGTGTAGTCACTGCCTCAAGACCAGAATTGAGGAAAAGAAATGAGACTAGTGTTTCATATGCATTAAATTTTATTTTTGATGCCTAAATATAATAGACTTTAGATTTCTCAATTTCTTACCTTTTTTGCCTTTGAGAGACATTGATACAGATTTTAATTTGACCTTTCATGTTGCTAATGTGATCTTAACTTTTACTAATTAAGAAATAAAAATGAATATCAATTTAGAAAGCATAGCTATCAAACTCTTTTACAAAATAAGTGCTGCAGTATTATATTATGTCCAACATTTGTTTCCAGAACAAATGAGGAAGCTATTTTCATTTACTTGCTTTTTGCAATATTCCTTATATTAAGCCTACAGTATAAAATGCTGCACATGCTATGGTGAAAAATATGCTTTAAATATATTCATCATCAAAAGATGATTCTACTGTTCCAAAATATATGTACTCCGTATTTGTAGTGCTGACTTTGATATAGAGTCAGAAGCAGAAAAACAGAGGGTAAAACAGGGTTAAGCGACTTCCCTCATAGGATCAGTCATATCCTTGCAGGAATTCAAGATCTGAACTCCATTTACTTCCTGGCAGGAAGTCTGCAAATGATACGCTGACTGTATCCTTGTTATTTTGACAGAAGTGAACTCTTGATTTTGTGCTAAACCTCCATCTTCTTAACCATCTACTCCAGGGCTAATCTGCATTTATTAGAAAAGAAAAGGGGAGAAGGAAAAAAAAAAAAAAAAGCTTAGATCCCAGTTCTACGATCTAAGAATCCCTAGACTAATTTTTTTTCCTTGACCTCTTTTTTTTTTTCCACAAATAAAACATTGTTGGGTCATGTAATAGCAAATCTAATATCTACTACAGATAAAGTTAATGATTTGTGTACTGAGAAATGTATACGTGTGAGATAAGCATGTAAAGGTTGAGAAGTATGTTTATATCCATTTAACATTTTAATCTATTTTCAGGAAATTTTTTTAATATCCTAGTATTGCATAAGGTTCCAGAAGTCATTGTGAAGGCTGTTGAAACATACTCTGAAAATGCGAAGTTACAGGCTGCAGCTCTCACTTGTTTAGCTCTTCTCAGTGAGTAAATTCCTTCCTAACTGCATAAACAAATAAATAGACAGATGAATGTTTTCATTCTAGTGATTTCCCAAATTTTTGCCACTTTCTTTTTTTTTCCATGACATGTCTCTGTTCATACCACATACCCAACATCAACTTCACATTGTTCAGAGCCGGTGCATTAAGCTGATGGATTCTAACAAAGCAACTTGTTTCTTTGTGGGCAAATATTGAATAATCCCTCCTTAATATAATATCTCTAGGGATAGCAGTGCTGGTTTCATGCTGGGATTGCCATGTGTGACAGTACTCATGACGCTGTGACTGTTTGTAGCAATTTCAAAGCAATGCTTCTGTTTGAGTTCTATAATGAATTTTAAGATTTAAATATCTTCTTGAGTATCCTACAGGTAGTAGTTTGAAAGAGCAGTTAATTAGCTATGGGCACAAAGCTGAAGACATGATTCTCCTAGAGTTTGGGAAATTGTTTCAGACTGAACTCAGTAGAAATGTTATGTAAGGTTCCAAAAAAATAGTAGATATTAGAAACTGGCCTACATTCTGGTAAACTTCAGATGACATGTTAATGTTGATACTTTAATTTTTTTTAAGTGCTGAAAATCACAAGTATGAAATGATATTTTCTGAATTACTGCCCATCCCAGAGCTAAATATTTCCATTTTAGTAACTGCAATTTGCATTTGTATTTTTTAAATGACACTACTTCAGAGTGAAGATGATTCTCTGTTGAGTGTTTTGCACAAATGATCCATGGTTATATTTTGTGTCTGTAGTATTCTGTATGCAAATACATAAGAAATAAAAATATGTGGGCACCTTTTCGGAGAGTAAATACTGAACGATCTGTAACTATCTACCTAATTTACTACGTTATCTCATTATTTTTAATCCCTTCACAGTCTTAAATAAACTATTGAGTTCTATGATGGAGTTTGTATGAAAAGTCTTCTCCATTCCCTGTAAAGACTAATTCACACCCGATTTATTTTGTAAAACAGTCTTCAGCTGATTTTCCCACATAGGCAGTGTGATCATCTGCGTGATTGGGAGAATGTAAAATCATACGTGTTTTATTTTCACATTAAGATTTTTTTGTAAATATTTTATATTTCAAGCTGAAACAATATTCTTAAACCGAGACTTGGAGGAAAAAAAAGAAGAGGAGGAGGAAGAAAAATTATGCTGGTTGGAAGCCTGTTACAAAGCATTAGAACAGCACCGAAAAAACACCGATGTACTGGTGAGAATTTCTCAATGGATATGGAAGGTCTACATCATGTGTTAAAAATGTTTAGTAACACATTTTTTTTCTCAAATGTTAATACAGACAAGGCTGAGTTAGGTTTATAATCTGTTTGTTATTCCCAAATTTATTCACCTTCACTCCTCCAGATCAAGAGTATTTAGTTAGTTGAGACTTATTACCTGTAACTTAAATCATTTAAAAACTTCTTAAACAACATTTAAATACAAAAAATATAAATACTCAGCTCTCTGTACAGAGGAGCAAAGCACAGGCTCATGCACAGAGGAATTAATTTCAACCTAAAATAGGCATGAAAATGAAAATCAAATAATGAGAATGCGACACATGCTCATAACTCAGGCCTGTCCCAGATATAAAGACTATCACCCTCTGCAGCTCACTCTGTTCCTACATGAAGCAACTTGAGTAATTGTGAT